ATGAAGAAGTGTGATGCTAGGTCATACCTGCTGTAAGAGTATTTCCAAGTTCTCGAAACATGACGAGCACATCCTGCCATCCAACTATGTGCAATGTATTGGCAGTAAATGCTATATGGGTATCCGTTACTTTACTTCGGAGCGAGTCCCAATTTTGCTTCTTCGTCACATCCAGTAGTATAGGATCTCTGCATTGGTTAAAGTACAGTCGTACAGTGATGAGGATGTGTGACCACCAAGCTGAGCACTCTCAATGAGTGGGAATTTGTATAGCATCGGATTGTCTGCTGCGCCGAATAGCCAGCACATGGGGCGATTGTTGCAGATGCACAAAGCACACTAGGTTTATCACCACGACTTTAAGGAAGTCTAGGAAAACTACCTTACAACTGTGTGCATTGTTTCAATGTGGTATAGCAATGTAAACAGGGACTGTGTAGGCTCTCATACTAGTTCGGTTAAAGGTGCACGAATCTTGCACGCAAGGTGTACATAAATGCAGCCTTCCGACAGCTTGGCTATGTTGTTGTCTTATGAATTTTGCACTCGAACATTAGCACGGCAAAAAAATGGTACTAATTCATTTCGTCAACAAAGACATACTTAAGATTTTCAAGCTCAGCATCTACCACCCAGGCGACGAGACCAGGTAATTCTCTGAAAGGATAATAAAGTACATTAAATTTAAGAAATCAGCGGTAGAAGTCCAGAACGCGACGGTATACAACTGAAAACGGGTCAAGCGCAACCCGATTTTCAGCTGTTTCAGCGTATATGCGGGAAGATCGGTTTTAAGATGATCAGTCTGAACGCGCATTGGTTGAAATCATTTTCATCATCCATACGTGGCTATTGTATTCAATACATAAGCGTGCGGGAATCAACAAAACTAACAGCCCGCAGGTGTGATACACATACTCGCTTCTCTCAGTAGGCTGCCATGTAATCTTTGGGAGGGCTGCCGCGCAATGCACGGCATGTTGACCAGTTCCTACAGTGATATGGATATATGACTGAAAATTAATCAAACATGTTGTACATCAGGGAACTCAAAATCCTTCGCCGATTTGCTGAGTAGTGATCTTGGATGACCTAGTAAGCATATCAGAATCCATAAGTTCATATTTGAATCAAATGTAAGTTGATATAAATATCTGTACATACGAATACAATATACATAGATAATGATACTAACACAGATATACACAAATGCAGACACAGACACATACAGACACAGATACGCACACAGACATACACACACACACACACATACACATACACACAGACAAACATACAAACACAAATGAACACACGCACATACAAACACCTACTATATATATATATATACATATGTAAATATATAAATTTAGACATGGAAACACATACACACACACGTACATATATATACTATATATATATGTATATATATATATATATATATATATATACACATAGATACACATAGACACACACAACACACACACATATATATATAATATATATATATACATATACATATATATATATATATATACATACATACATATATAAATATATATATATATATATATGTATATGCATACACACATACACACACACAAATATATAAATATATATATGTATATACATACATGCATACATACAT